GGGGCTCACAAAGCTACCTGGGGGCTTCTGACATTTTCGCTGGGGTTGGCCTCAGAGTTGGGAGGGGGTGATAGGGTAGGGTATGGAGGGAGTGATTGTGGTTCTCTTTGTGCTGCTGTGGGAAGGCCTTCAGGTTCTGGCCTGCAAGCTCCTCGGGGAAGGACTTGCACAGGCCAGGGGCCTATGAGGGACTCTGACCAAGGGGGCTGTTTTCTGAAGCAGGATGAAGGGGAACTGTCTTCTTGGGAGGCATCCAGAGGACTCTAAGCTCTTTTACTCTTTCTTCAAGGGGCCTAGAGGGTTTCAGCCTAATGCGGGACCCAGTCCAGGAGCATTCTCCTGGGGATTGAAACTTCGGGCCTAGCCCAGAGGCACCACACTCTTCTTGACCAGGCCACCAAGATGCTGAGATGCTGGGATGCTGGGACGCAGGCTCAAAACCCATTTGTCTGTCCAGGAGAAGGGCGGGAAAGGGGGAAGAAATCCTACCCAAGTGAGAGTGAGAGGAAGTAATGGAAGGAGCAGCGTCTTCCCATACAGGGGCAGGACAGAACAGATCTCAGAGCAGGAGAGGGCTAGGCTGCAGGCCAGAGGCTCCCAGGAGCTAAGGGAGGGTGCTTTTCTGGAAGGAGGGAGAGTCCAGTGCTGCTGAAGGGGCAAATCCAATGCAAAGCTTGCATTGGACTTAATGGCCGGGAGGAAGCCACACTCTGAGTAGTGTGTTTGGGGAAGGAGTGGGGCCTGGAGCTAGGTCGCTCTGGGTTGAGGAGTGAGTGGGAGGGCGGCAGGGAGTTAGAGCTGCGGCTGGGCGGGCTATGATATTTAGGGCCTTTTGAACATGGCCGGGTTGGAAGCCCCTGGGCAGAATCCATCAGAGGAGAGGCTGAAGGCACAAAAGAGAGGGGAGCTAAGTGGCAGCAGAACAGGGGGTGGGAGCTGTCGCCTCCAAGGAGAAGCCTGGGACAACCATGCTGGGGGAACAGGGAAGGGCCCGAGATCAGAGGGAAAGGACGGCTCGGGGGGGGGGGGGGGGGGGGGTCAGTGAGACCATGCTCTGGTGGGGTGGTGGGACTTGCTCAGGGACCCCTCAACACTGCTGTCCATGCAGGCTCGGCCTCGAGGTCATGGCTGGCAGGGGTGGGCAGTGAGCCCTCCAGGTGGAAGATGCAACCAGTCCAGTGGGCTGAGCTCAGCTTTTCTTTGGGGGCTCAGACAGCCAGCAGAGTGGGGACAGCTGTGGCCCCCGGAGCCCTCTGGAAGGCTGAGGAGGCCTGACTGGGAGGGCTGGGTCGGGGGATCTACAGACATTCAGCCCCCCACGGGCTGTCCATGAGCAACAGTCACTGGGCAGGTGGGTCCAACACAGAATCAGGAAGGGCACCTGGCCCAACCCCTGATGCCCCTGGGCCCATTGGAGACAGGGGACTGGAGAGCTGGGCCTGAGTGCCCTGGCATGGCCCTGAGGTGAAGCTGGGGCCCGCTCGGAGCCTGGCACCCTGGGGCACTTGAGGGAACACTGGGAGTCCCAGTGAGGATGGCTCCTGGGGAGGTGCTGCCTGCGAGGGGCAGGGGGAGCAGGGGCAAAGACTGTGACAGGGAGTGAGGCCTGGAGCGCAGTGACACCTGTAGGACACATCCATTACTCACACCTAGGAGGAATGCTCTGCCGGCAGGAGGGGCGGGTGTGGAGCCGGCGGGCCAAGGGCGGGGCTTTTGAGTAACGACTGTGCCCACCACCCCTCTGGTCCCAAGGCTGCCCATCTTTGCCCTTAGTCACAGCCATTGAGAATGGTGGGTGGGGGCATCCTCTTGGAGCATTTTAGTCTCTATCGGACAGGACAGGATGCCTCGGTGTACGCGCCTCCCTCGGCCCCCGAAGCGTGCCGTTGTGGTGGACCATTTTGTACGTCCAGGAGTGAGGGTGTCAGCTCTCCCAGGCGGTTAGGGGCATGAATGTGAGGTATTCAGTTTGTGCTACAAGCGATGCCAACCAGCGCAGGGCAGGGGCCGCCCAACTAGCTTCCCCGCTACCTTTGGGGACGTGCGCTTCCACGGGAGAGGCACGCTCCCGGCCATCCTGTTGGGGCCCCTTCTGAATGAGGCCCGACCTTAAGCCGAATCCGTATTAAGCTCTGTGGCAGCCACTTTGTTGCTGTGGGGAAGTCCCGAGTGTGGAGTCACAGGAGTCCCTGTGGTTTTCGGGCTGTTGGAATCGGAAACAACCGGCAGCCAACCCTCGTGGGGCAAAGGCCGGCCGGGAGTAGAGCGGAGGGGACCGGCCGGGGCCGGCCGGGGGCGGGGCAGCTGGTGGGGACTGAAGGGGCGGTGCCGGGACTCCAAGGGGGCGGGGCTTCGGAAGGGGTGGAGCCCGACGGGGGCGGAGCCCGACGGGGGAGGGTCGCGGGGCGAAGCGCCGGGGTAACTCCCCTTCCACTGCGGTCCCGGACTTGAAGCGGAGCTCGGCGGCCCTGGCGGCCCCGCCTTCGGGCCGCCGAGCTCCTCCCGCTCCGCATTCTGGGTGAACGGGGTTGGGTGGAGCCTAGGCTTTGGGAGAGGAGGTGGAGGGGAGGCGGCAAATCCCTCCTCTCCCGGGCCGTCTTTGCGAAGTGGCAGGACTTCACCCTCCCGTGCAGCCAACGTGCGGCCTGCCTCAGCGCCCCCCCTCTCCCGCGCCCTGTATGGGTGTCCTTTACATGGGAGGAATACGGATCTTTAATTGGGTCTGTCACCCCCTCAGTGGAAAGAGGCTGGGGTACAGAGAGTCTGGACTGGCGGTGCAAGTCGCCCCCTGTCCCCTGCCGCCAGTGCAGTTACTTCAGCGGCCTCTTTCCTTCTCGGTAAAATGAAGGCCGGGGAGGTGCGGGGCGGGGGGCGGGGAGATGACGTGCTTCACAAACTTCTTGCCCTCAGCCCTCGGTGCAGCATCTTCCCGCTGCACAAGACGCCGAGCAGCCTCTCCAAAGAACCAAAGACATCAGCAGGCTTAGCTGACACGGGTGCGTCAGTAACGGATGCTCCCTTGACAAATGAAAACATAGAGGCACTTTTCTCCTGGCTGTTTATTACAGTACAAAGAAAAAACGCACTGGCTGGAAACAGACGCCAGATTTCAAATGTAGAGGCGAAGGGGGAGGTGGCAATTAAAACGTGATTACACAAGTCTGGGCACTGAGGAAAAGTTTACAGGACAGTGGGTGTGGGTTTTTCTATAACAGACACTTAAATATACATGACGATAATTGCAGATAAAAACCATCAAAGACAAACCCCAAGTCAACTATTAATGTTTACAGACTACCCCCCCGCCCTCCCCCCCAACCACAGACCTTACATGAAAACAAATACTGAAAGGCTTTAAAACCAGGAACCTCTCACCTCCACCCTGCAAGGTGCCACTGGGGAAGTGGGAGCCTGGGGTTCTCTCTGTCTGAATGATCAAGAGAGGACACTCTGGATCCTCAGGGTGGACAGCGCGGCCAGTGTGCAGCTCACAGGCCCTCTCTACACCCCTCCCAAAGCCTCAGAACTCTTAGCCTCCTGGCAAATTGCCCCTGCAGGGCACTTGTAAAGCTTGCTGTAATATGCGCATCAGTTAAGAGCCAGCGGAGACAGGTTTGCAAGAGTTTCAGAATCACACAAGACGATAGCATTTTTAGTGAAAATGGCAATAAATGGCCAAGGGGTTTCTATTTGGCGTTTGTCAGTTTGTACAATGCCTCTTGGTCACATCCACATCTCTCACTGCATCAAAACCGTAAGTGACTCAACTGCCTGGCTTCTAAGGTAGCACTGGAGCTTCACACGGGAGCGCTGGAGCAACGAACACAACCTGCGTATTGGCGACAGTGCATAATAAACACAAACAATGCATAATAAACACAACTCTACTGAAACAAAAGCCGTCACTTTATTTACAAAGTCACAAAATGAAGTATAAATACTTCTGTCATTAACGTTTAGGAAAACCATTTACAAAATTTTCAAATTATGTACAGGTAGCTTGAAAAATCACCAGCTTTCCATTCTGTCACAGGTAGAGAGAGGGATGAGCACAGGCGGATGCCACTCAGGTTGTGGGGAGGAAACAACTGGGTGGCTGTGCGGCGGGCGGTGGATTGGCCATGGCTCCACGCCACTGCCTAACGTGGTGAGGGCGCGGGGGTTTCTACGGGCACTTAAAGCCCCCCAGCGCTCTGGGGGGCAGCGGCGGGGGCAGCGGCGGCGGCGGCGGCGGCGTGCTCTTCCAGAATGTCATCGATGAGCCTCAGGTTGCACACCCAGCCCTCCTCTGGGCTCCCACTGGGGCCTTTCAAGAGGGCTTCAAAGAAATCCACCTCACTGCAGTCAGGGGCTGAGAGCAGACCCTTTAGTGGGGGCGGGGCTGGGGACAAAAAGTCGTAGGGTGGCAGCTCAGGGGGGGTACCCATTCTGCCGAATGGACCTGGGGACTGGCTGGCGGCAATGGCAGAGGTGGCGGTGGCGGCGGCGGCCACAGAGCTTGGCGGCTCGATGCCCTGTATGGGACTCACGGGACCAAAGCTGGCCATGCCCTGCTGGAGGGACTTGGCGGCGTTGAGCACGGGCACGGGACCTCGCACCGGGCTCTGCCTGAGGCTCTGGTTGCCCAGCAGGCCGAAGCTGGGGCTGACCAGAGCAGCACTCACCTTCTGGCCAGGCCTGCCTCCTGGGGCCACCTGACCAGGGGGCACGGCTGCCTGCTGCGATGGGAACGTCGGGGCTACCAGGGGAGCTCTGGCGGGCGCCTTGGTGAAGATCGAGTTGCTATCAAAGTGCGGCTGGATGCTACGGTCTACGCGGCTCAGGGGGGGCTCCCTCGAGACCGCTGTGGTCCCAGCCGCCGCCGCGGCCGCCGCCCACGCGGCATCATTGAACACTGCAGGCATTCTTGGCACACAGGGCTGTCTGAGCTGGTGGGGACTTGGGAGCTGGCTGCCCAGGGGTCTGGGACAGAACCCAGGCAGGGGCGCTCCTGAGGGGGCCGCCTTGGGAATCTGTGGACGACGGCTGCCCGGGGGGTTCTGGCCCGGGCGCGAGGGTATGGGGAACGGGGGGTTACGGTGGAAAATTCCTTGTTGCTTGCCCAGAGTCGGCGAGGCCATGCCCATGCCCTCGCAGCTCTGGTGCCTGGTGGGTGGGATCATTGCTGGATTCGGATTGTTCTGAAGGAGCCCAGCTCTGGGTGGCATCATGGGCTGACTGGATGGGGGGCTTGCCTTGGTCTGGCTACACTTGGAGGTGACTTGTTCTTGGACGGCTACAGAAAGAGAGAAGTGGGAGGTCAGTGCCACAGTCATCCTCAACTTGGGCTGCATCGGCTGGCAGGCGGCCCCTGCCACAGCACCAACCTCTTGCCTTCTGCCCTTGGCTCCCCAGCTCTTCTCAACTCCCCATCTTCCGCCACCCTCAGCTGACTGCAGTTCCTCTGGGAAGCCCTCCCAGACTCCCCGGGTCGGTGCCCCCAGCTCCCCCACAACACACGCACCAAGAGAAGATCACATCGGACTGAAAATGCCAGCTTATCGGTCTATTTTTTTCAGGTAGATGGTAAGCTCCCCAAGGCCAGGGTCTGGGTCTGCTTTTATGTTCAGCACTCTGTACGCAGGCCTGGCACTGCGCACGCCTTGGCAGAGGGCCACTCCTTGCCGATGGCCTTCCTGGACCTTGTCTGTCCTGTCACTGCAGCTGAAGCATGCCGGACATGCTACTCCAGCTTGGGCAGCTGGGACATTCAGCTGGTGCCATGCCCAAAGGAACGGGGGTTCTTGCAGGAGAACGGAGGTGGCCCTGGGCTAAAACGAAGAAGCTGACCACCTGCGGGAGGGCAAGCAGCCTCCCCCAGCCCCAGGTTAAGAGTCTTCTTGGCCTGGCCCAATATCACTTCACTGGCTCGTAGGGATTGTTTAACACTCATCTCCCCGGCTAGGCTGGAAGCTTCACGAAGTGGGGACCCTGCCTGACATTTTTTTTTGTTAACTGCTGTATCCCCGGCCAATAAATGTGGATTACATTCGTAGCTGCCATGGTAGGGTGGGGACCCCTGCTATCTGTGGGAGGCTCCGGGAGCCCCTGCCACAGACTCTTTGAGGAAGAGCGTCCCCAACCCCTGCTCCACTGTCCATGCCTGAGAGATGGCTCAGGAACACTGAGAGTGGAAGGTCACCCCAGCAGTGGCGAGGACAGGACCAGAACCCTGAAGGTGTGCCTTTCTCCTTTCGAGAAAGTCAGTTAATCTCTTGACTTAAGTTTTGATTTGAGAGTCATTAAAACCTGGCTTTCGATCGGGATGCTGCTGAAGCTTTCAATGTGGGGTCGATCCAGCCTGCGTGCTGTTTAACTGAGTTGCAGACCTCCCTTCCCTCCCGACTGCTTACTCTGCAGTGAGTTCTCACCCCTCACCCCCTATCCCCCTACCCCCCCCAACCCCCACCTGCCCCTTTGGGAACAATGACCTTAACTGCTTACCTTGAAATTGACTCATCTGTTGGGCAATATATGCACTCCGCTGTTCAGGGGTCATTGCCGTAAGACCTGATCTCTGCTTCTCTTGCTAAACAGAAGATGAGAAAGACGTGTTAGACGGGGGCTACCAAGAAAATTAGCCTTGGGATTGCTGTGTGGGGGCCCAGGACTTGGCTTTGGTGTAGCAGAAAGCATGAGTGAACACATCAACACACACTTGCATGCATGCCCCGCCCTCCCGAGCAAAATTTCACAGGTATAAACAAAAGTAGGATTCTGCACCTGGGTTAAAAAATCAACTGCGACAGCATAGGATGGGGCAGGAGAGACAGAGTTTAACAGCAAGAGCACACAGAGAAAAGGTTCAGGCATTTTGGATGTCCTTCTGCTCAGGATGGGTCAGCAGTGAGATGTGGTCACCAAAAGAGCAAATGTAACATTAGGCTGCATTAATAGAAGCAGAGTATGTCGAAGGAGGGAGGTGACAGTCCTGCACTCCTCTGCCTTGGCCAGACCATGTCTGCAGTGCTGACAAGAGTCTGGGCGTGCCAGTCTCAGGGAGACCCAGATGGACTGGCTGCACTGTGAGCGCACTAACTGATAGGGGTAGGGCTCGCACCCGGAACTGTGCAGACCACGAATGGCTGAGCAAACCAGGGATGCCGTGGATGGGGCAGAGCAGACCCTGGGCTATGTGGCGGTGGGTACCCAGACTCTGCAGGGCTGTCATGGGGAAAGGGCCCACACTTGTTCTGGGTGGTCCTGGCACGAACGGCAGGATGATCACACGGTCAGATAAATGCATTGTCTGCCACCCAGCATAGCCACTCGCTGCCAACTTCCCTTCATTCTCCTGCCTGGCTGGAGCATGGGCAACTGGGGACGAGCTTCCCGTCTCCATCACAGGGGCAGCTGGTGGGGTGGGGGAGGAGCCAAGCTTCAGGGCCGCAGGCCCAGCACGGAGTCTGGGAGTGGCTCAAGGAGACAGCCAGCAGAGAACCGGACGAGGGCCCCGCAGGCACGACTTGCCCTGAGACCCTCAGCCATTCGGTGTCAGGTTGTGAGTGGGACCCAGGTCCGACTCCCAGTGCAGTGCTCACCCACTGCCATCTCTCTCCCCTTCTCAGGAAGCCTGCTCGATAGGGTGCTGACAACCAAGGCAGCTCCGTCAGGGAGGATCCCCCCACCTTAGTCCACTTGTTGAGCTGCATCCCCCCAGATGCCAGAGGACTTGACCTATAACACGGGCTGCCTGGCAGGACCTGCATTTCTGCCCTCAGTGGGGCTAGTGTGGGCTGGGCCGGCGGAGGGCTGGCGCCTGGGGAGAATGCTGGGCTCCCAGGCCTGCCAAGCCTTAGAGGACAGACCCAAGGCACGGGGCAGGCAGACGACACCAGAAGCCGTTTCACCGTCCTGTCCTTAGCCGGCTTCCTATCCGGGCCCTTGCTCCCCTCCACTGGGGCCACGCCTCGGGCGGCCCATGGAGCTGCCCTTTTCCTGCTAGAACCTGGGGGGGCCGGGGCCAGCCCACCCGTGCTCACTGTCCTGAACGGCCTGCGCTCATTCTTTCACATCCTCCTCAAGGTCCGCCCTGCTATGTCATTCCAGTTAGGGATCTGGCCACTGCGGAGCATGGGGGGTCACATGACCGCCCAAGACAGGAAGTGAGGCTTGGAAGCTAGGCTCTGCCTGCAACACTGGGGGCAGCCCTTTCACTTCTGTTCTTCCCTTGGACCCTTATGCCAGCCCTCAGAGATCTGGGCAGAAGATCTACGGCCCCAGCTTATCATGTGACATCTGAGGCTCAGAGAGGTTAAATGACATGCCCAGAGTGACACAGCTAGGAAGCGCACTGTCTCCCAACTGCAGACCCAGTGCTCAGGCCTCTCTAGCCTCTTCGGCCCACTGCTTCTGGGGACCAGCTGCTTCTGGGGACTGGTTCCTGTGGCTGGCTGGGTCAACATCAACCCTAAATCCGTCCCCACCGTCTGCCCCATCAGTTTCCTCAAACACCGAAGTTGTACAAGGGTGGGGGGGGGTTCGGGGCAGGTGGAGGCCACAGAGCACAACCAGAGAAAAAGCAGGGGAAGGGTGTTAGAGTCCAAAGGGAAGGCAGTAGAGAGGAAAGGCACCCCAAGGGCACAGGAAATAAAAGAGAAGGCTGGGCTGGGGCAGGGGTCAAAGGGTGGAGGAACTGGGTGGTGTTGGCCAGATGAAAGAGAGCGCTTCTCCAACAGTCTAGAGTTACAGGGACCAGGGGACGTTGGCTGGTGTTCATCCAAGGAAACACAGAATCCGGAGCTTCCCGAGTTTCAGGGAAACTCTGGTCAGCGGGATGGCTACAGAAACTCCCAAGTTCAAATGGCACGTTGGCACCGGGCCTGCGGGGCTGGGCCTCTGGCATCCTGGGACACCGCCATCAAGCAGGAGTCTCTTCACTAGGCTGGGGAGTCCAGAGGCCCCGCAGCCCTCTCCTCCGGGCCTGGTCTTGTTGGCCCCGGGCAGAGGAGGCCTCCCCAGGAGGCTGCTTCCTTTGTTTTGCAGACGGAGGCCCCCATCCTTTGTTCTGAATCAATGTGCTCCAAAGATAAGCCCCAAGAAAACAGTTGTTGCCTTTTGACACTGACAATTAGAATCGTTGGAAAATGGAGAAAACAGGAAATGACAAATGTTTTCAGTGACCAGGAGGAAGTGATGGCTGAAAGTTGCTGCTTAGTGACGGACGCTTGTGAAGGATGGCTCAGGCAACCTGTGGCTGTTCCTAAGCATGGTTATGGAGCAGATCATCAAATGAGTCATTTTTCTAGGGCTGCAGTTGTCATGGTGCTCGGTGCTATTGTGCCAGGAGACACCGACCGGGCAGTGTCAGGTGAGTGCCGTGTGAGCCCGGGTGTCCTTCCCCCATGGTGGTCACTGTGCTGGGCCTGGGGCCATCAGGAAGTCTCCCAGAGAACTAGGGCCCCAGTTCTTTCCTGTCACCTCCCCACCCCCCGGTCCTGCTTGGCCAAGGTGCCACATTCACAGACAGGTCTCAGGCAGGACAGGCAACCCTGGAAGCTCTGGGGCCGCCTTTCTAGAAGCTTCATGCTGATGCCCAGGAAGCTGCAAAGCCCTCACCCAACTCTGGGGGCTCATGGAAGGGCTAGTGATTCATCTGTGTGTGCTAGGCCAGAGAGAGAGGGGTAAGAGGCTGGCCTGGACCCCACCACTGCCCCCCGACTCGGCTGAGCCTCACACAGCAGCCCCCACTAGCAGGCGAGGCCAGAAGCTGCGTTGGCTTCTTCCTTCAGCCACCTCCTGTAAGCTTGGATGCTTCCTCTCCACTGCGGGGGAAGAAGGGTCTCCTCACAGATTCAGCCACTTAATCAGGCAGAGGAGGTTGGGGAGAGGCAGAAGGGCAGATGACCAGCAGGATTCACACCCAGAGGCCTGCAAAGGGTTACTGGATGTTGGCCAGATTCAGACTGAAGTTATTCCCCCCAGTGCCCCCAGGAGGAGAGCGTTCTGACTCAGAAGGGGATTCCAAAGGAATAGCTCCTGGGGGATGGCAGGGAATGGATTCAAAGCCTTGCTTTGTGCAGCACACTGAGGGTGGGGGGAGGGGAGCAGGAGCGCGGGAAGTGGGGGGGGGGGGATCTTTTTCTACCTTTAGGTAACTAGGCTTCCTTTCCAAGCAGACCTGCCCCCTGAGTATCCCCACGGGGAGCCAGCCTGCCACACAGCAGAAGGCACTCAGCTATCTTAAAGGTTCAAAGGTTAATGAGCTCTACTGCACATGTTTGTTTGTGTATTACTCCACTAGGAAAAAACACCTTCTTTTGTAGTTTCTGGAAGCCAAATTTGGAAACAACTCACCCACCTTTCTGACCCATCCTTTGAAATGACAGGGAAGACAGCATTCTTGCTGGAGAGCATGAAATCAAGATTGGAATTCTTGGGGCTCTTACACCCATGAGGATGGGGATGCCTGAGACCCATGGGCTCTGGCTCCCCGGTAGCCTGTGGATGAAGGGAATGCAGACACTTCCACTGGGAGCCCTGTTGGAGGGGGTGCTGATGCTCTTGGGATCCGATTCTTCACCAGTATCCTTTGGAAACCATAGGGGCTTCCTACAGTGAACGACAGGCGAGGTTCCTTGTTTCCCGGTGCCTCCTAACTCTCAATGCCCATGATCCAGTTTCTCCAGAAGGCCTCCAGAATGATGGGATTGAGGAGTGTGCCATCAAGCCACTTCTCCTCTCTGTCGACTGCTGAGGCCGAGATCTGGCCCTCTTGCATTACCTCTGCTCAATGTCCTTCCTGGCCCAGAGTGCACCCAGCGAGCTGTGGGCCTCTGGCGCTGGAGCCCCGGGAATGAACGTGCTCAAATACCAGATGGGAAGATGGGGTTTACTTAGCAGCCCGGTAAGTCCCTCTGTCAATCAGCGGGCACACATTTCTTGGGGGATGGCGCTGGGCTTCTCATTCTTACGGACCTTATAATGGAGGGGGAGGCTGACAAGACACAAGTCAATTAATCAAAGAAGATCACTTCAGATGGTGACACATCTTCTAAAGAAAATTACGGCAGAGTGAAGGGCTCAAGAGCGGGTGGGCACGGCGGAAACCCTGAGGGTGTTCTGCTGGCGTCTTTCTGGGCCCCTCCGGGACCCTGGCGTAGGGGCCCCGGGGCCTCGCCCACGGAGAGGCTGGGGCTCTGGGGTCTGGACCAGTCTGAGGCTGACTCTAGGGGCTTCACAAAATCAGTGCCATCACCAGCAAAAAGCAGAGAGCTGTAGGTCAGCTGCTTGACTCTCCAGTTTCTGTCTTTCTACTTGATCTCCAACTCTATTCGGATTCCTCCTCTGTCTCGGCGGTTTCAGGGCGGCCTGGTCCCGGAAGGGCTTGGTCTAAATGCTGGGAATGATCCCGGGGCAGAGGAACCAAACATGTTTGCAGCTCGCCTTTCTTCTTCGCCTGCGCTGCCTGTGTCCTCCGTCTCACACTGAGTCCGGCCTTCCTGAGTCGCCGGCTGAGCTGGTGCCACAGCCCGTCCCTCAAAGCCCCCGCGGAGCGCCCAACTTCCAAAGCTTCTTAGGGAAGTTTTGAGGGCCGAGCATCTGCCTGGCCCCCGTCCCCTGCTGGGCGGAGGGCGTTGCCTTGGGAAGGGACACAATAAGGCAGGGGAAGAGGACTCTGAGGCAAGCTAGCTGGGGTCCCTGTCAACGTCGGACTCGTGAGGGAAGGGAAAGGCAGGGAAGACCGGGGTGGGGCCCGATGACACCCGGAGTGGACCACGTCCCCGTCCAGTTTTGCTAATTCTGTTTGCCTGGCAGCTTTGACTTGGACATGATTTCTCCTGTTCCCGCCGGATACTGAACAGCTGAAGAGCACACTGAGCAAAGGGGCAAAGAGAGAGGCATCAATAGACCTTGAGCAGAAGGCTCTGCTTGTTCTTTCCATCGGGGCCCGGCGGCCTAAGGAGAACAAGGCCGTGTGTACCAGAGCAGAATTTCCATTAAAGGCCAGAATCCCGGAGGCCCTTTCAGCCTGATGACCATCTTCTGATCACTATCACTTAGCGAATGCTCATTTCTCCAGTTTTTTTTTTGTTTTGTTTTGTTTTGTTTTGTTTTCTTCTGCAGCCAGGGCAGACGTCCCATGCACACTGCTATTTCATGCACCAGAGCAACAGCTCGGCGGTTCAAATGGTGTTCTCAGCAAAGGCCCGCTCTGGCTGGCGTCCACCATCTTGGTCCCGTGACCACTGATGTGACTCTGCAGGGCAAGTCAAGCCATTCCTTCTAGACTCCAGGGGACGATCCAAGCTCACAGCCACCGTGGACCAGGCTTGGCTTGGCTTCCTTTGGCCTGCTCTCCTCCGGCTGCCGGTGCTCCAGTGGGCTGGTCTGACTTCCCACTTCTAGGGTGCACAAGTCTTGGCTGGGGTCAGAGCACCCCTTGGGGGTGCGGAGTCCACAGCGGAGCTTGCAGGAGAGGTAGTTCCTGAACACCCACTGGGCACAGAGCAGGCAGGCACTGGGGGAGGTCCGGAGGTGCAGAAGGCCCAGCCCCTGTCCCCCTTTGGGCTCACAGTCTGGCCGCAGGGACAGACAGGCAGGGAAGGACCCAGGGTGCTGGGAGGCTTACCGCAAGGAGGGGGCAATTGCACCCGGGGCGACCCCCACTCATTTCCCCGCAGGTGAGGCTCAGGCGCCTGGAGCACTCTGCTTGCTTGGGTGGTCCCTGTGCCAAAGACCGGCCAGGACACAGTGGAGAAAGCACTAGAGATCCCTCCTAGGTGTACAGAGCTTTATGGGCTGTCACCTCCTGTGTTCCTCCCAACAACCCTGTGAGGCAGGCGGGCAGGCTGAGCAGGGGACTGTGCCCCGGTTGGCAGATGAGGAAGCGCGGCTCAGGGGAAGTGACTTACCTACAGCGTCGCAGCTAGGCAGTGGCGGAGCGGGCACCTGCCTCCAGGCCTTCGGATCCCAGCCGCCCCAGGGCGCTGCCTCTGAGGTACTGTACGAGGAGGTGACTCGGGCCAGCTCATGAGCAAACGAGCTGCCGGGCAGGAAGGACTCGCTCCCCGGGGCCTGGCAGGATGGGGGCTGTCGCCCGAGGCTGACCTGGGGGGGCCTGGCTTCCCCAAGCTTGCAGGCTTTGTCTACATGAGTCTACAACAACCGATTGAACAATCCATCAGCTGCTTGGCCACAAAATGCTGCTGACTGATCTTGTCACTGCCATGACTGCCTGCCTAGCTGGGTCGTGTTTGGCTGCCGTGGTTACACACACCAACTGGTCTGGGGCAACAAAACCAAACAGCTTTGCAGTCTTAATTGCCTTGGGTCACAACCTCCTTTGAGAATCCACTAAAAGCTATGGTCTTTCTCCACAGAAAACAGCACTCCCAGTGGTGTTTCCCCTCTCCCAGCCCACCAACATTTTACGTATAATTTCAGGGGTTTTCTGGACATTCCCACCTATCCATGGATCTCAGTTAGGGATCCTCTGCCTTGATCAGTCATTGTCTTGTTGGAAACGGGAAGGAAGCCAGGTCGGATAGCTGGTTCATCGGCAATGACCTCGACCAATCCCGATCCCTCCCGCCCTCTTCCCGCCGCCCCCCTTCCCCAACAGAGCACAGAGTTCTGAACTGGTGTGCAGGTTTGTGTGTGTAGAAATGCTGAGGAATCTGCAAAACCAAATGGTGAGTGCAAAACCAAACAGTCAAGTGTAAACCCCACCACAGCCGAGTCCTGAACTTGTAGCCCTCACTGTACTTCACCTTGCCGGGGCCCCAAGGCTTTGGGACTTGGGTGTGTGTGTGTAGGGGGGACCTTTCCTTGCCGTCACGTTTTAGATGACAGGGACTTTGCCAGAAGGGAACCTATGACCCAAATTCTTTCAGCCAAAGGCATTTTTAGAAAACCTCACACTTGATAACCGGGCTCTTCCTTCTACAGGACACGGCCTCCTCCCTCTCACGCTGGACCGCCCGGGCTGCAAGTCCTCATCCGTGTCTCCTAGCGTCCTGGTACAGAGGGAAATCTATATCCCCCAAACTAAGTTAAACGGCTGGAATCAATTCAATTCATTGCAACAAACACTTACTAAGCACCTCCTGCGCACAAGTCCCCGCAATGGATGACAGGCCACTAGGTATTTGGATGTCCCGTTCGAAGCAACGAGAAAAATCGCCACCACTGAATTTATCGAGCATTTGCTCGGCACCAGGCACTGACCCAAGTGCTTTCGACATCTGGTCTCACTCAGTCCTTTAAGCAGCTGTCTACGAGGCAGGAGCTATTATGGTCCGTATTTTATGGATGAACACACTGAGGCCCAGAGCGGTTAACTAAGTTGCCCAAAGTCACACAGCTAGTTAGTAGGAGAGCAGGATGCAAACTCGGGTTTGCCTGGTTCCCAAGCCCACACGTGGTTTGCCACGGAGTGTGTGTGTGTGTGTGTGTGTGTGTGTGTGTGTGTGCTCAGTCATTAGCTTACCAAATTGCAAAACGAGTTTTGAAATGGAGAAACTACTGAAACGCACCATTTAGAAAAATTCAGGCAAAGTGTTACGAGGGGGCTCCAGACAAATTCCTAAGAACAAATTATAAATACTTAAAGAGGGGATCGGGAAGACAATCAAACTACCTGGAGGGTTTCAGAGAGTACACTCGTCCCCCAGACAGATACAAAATCAAAGAACAACACAAAATATCCTTCGCAAGTAAACTCAGTGCACTTGGGAAAGGAAACTTCCTCGCCATTCTGACGGTATCCAGACTGTGCAGGGAGCCCAGCGCCCCTCCTCTTGGGGTGGGTCATCCCTACAGAGCCAGCTCACTGGCCCCCTGCAGCTTCAGTTTGTCCTTGGAGCAAAGTCATCCGGGACTCGAGCAGAAACGTGGCTTTCTACAATTGACAATTCTTTGTGCCCGCATACCTAGCTCCTTGATCATTCTAAACGCTATTTTATAGCCACGTTGGAGTTTTTACAATCCCCAAATGCAAATATTACCAGAGCTCTGATTGCCCGCCCATGATGCCACAACCTCAAAGCAATGAATAGGGCTTATTTGGAGGGAACTGAAGCACCTTAAGCTTTTGCTCAGGAATCCCTGGTAGCTTCATGGGACTTATAGGGTATTAGTGACGGGTCAAGAAACAGGACCCCCCCACCACCCCGCATCAGTGTTAACATACGCTTGCAGTGCTTCCGTAGTCCAGCAGGTGCAACAATCTGCAGATGGCACGTGGACACTACCCACGGTGGAGGATGCCCCAACACGGTGAGCGGTTCTATCTGGAGCCACTCATTCAAGGGGAGCAGAATGGGAGCAGCCCTTGGCGAACCATTCCAATCCCCAGTTGAAAAGTGAAATCAATAAAACAGATGAGATTCAAATCTGCACTCTGACGGAGTAGGTGCTTTATAACCGATGCTCATGCATCTTCTCTGTTTTATTTAATTTGGGGGGGGGGAAACCCCTGCTTATCACACACCCTATAAATGTGAGGCCCAACTTTCAAGGAAAAGGCTGTTAGGGACATCTTCAACTCCCCGAGGTTTCCAAACGTAAGGTAAATCCATCTCTTTTTTTGGTACCACCGAAAACCTCGGAAAAGCAAGTCAATTAACAATTATCGGTGGGCACAGTCACTGGCTCTTAGACTGGCTGGTTCCACATGAGTCCAAATTTCGCAGAAGTAGACCATGGGATGGATAGTGTCTGATAGTCGTAGCGACTCATTTCACAGAACTCACATCCACTCAGCTCCCTGGGTCTGGGCTTTCCATGCTTGCCAGAGAGCTTGATGGACTGAGGTTGGCCAAGGGTCCCTCCCCACTGAAAAATCCGCCAATGGCTTGCAGCTGCCTAGGGATGCAAGCACAGCCTGCTAAATTCTGTTCTTTGGGCTGTCCATAAGCTTGGCCTCCCGTCCTCACAGCAGCACTAAGAGCCGGGTTTCATGTTTCATACTGCTATGTTCTCTGCCCTCCAATCATGCCAGGCTCAGCTCATCAAAGGCCACCATGTGTGTTCCGCCCTCTGAGCTGGTGCCCCTTGATTCGCCCAGCCTGGAATGCACTTTCTCCCTGTTTTCGCTCTGGGACTCCCACACGTCCTTTGAGACCCAGCTCCTCTACCCTGACCTTACTCCGTTAGGGGTTTGGCGTGATGAGCTGGGCACTCGGGAGATGGTAATCTGGTGAGGACTGGGCTAGCCTCTCTCTAGGATGAACGTTAATGATAAACAGAGACTCGCCCCTCATTTAAACACGTCTATTCATCCCTTTTCAACCCTGTTGCGTTAATGAAACCCATCGATAGAACAGAGTGGGATTGTAACCACACCGTACAAATAACCTCAGCTAACAAGGAAGCAGAGGTAGGTTTACCCAGGACACACGGTGGCAAGGGGGCGTACAGACCTGGATCTGATTTACAGAGTGGCTAAGACCCAAGCAACTCCTGGGTTTGGAAGTCCAGAGGCTCCTTCCCTGCACCCGAAGAGGAGCAGTCCGAGGTGTCCTCCTTCGTTTACACTGGAGTAACTCCACCTCCTTGGCTATTCTGTGACGTCACTGTAGCTCGAATGGGCTCTGGGGCATGAAGCAAAGGTTATGACTAACCCCCATAAACGTTCAGCTGCTTTGCAAGAAGTGGATGGCTGTTCTAACTCTATAAATTATTGACTAGATCAGATATTGGTCCAGTCTTCACCACGGAGCTTCGAAAGGAGGCGTATGTGTACTCACAAGGTTATGGTTGTGTACTGTAATTCCACTGGCTTCTGGGAGCTTGCAGATTCCCAGACTGAATCATCTAGCAGTTCAGGGAAGGAACCTTGAGCTCCTTTCTTTCTTTTCTCTGGCCTTTACTAACCGTGTGACAGAGGTGAGCAGAGAAAGCCCAAGAGAAGGAACTGGAGACGTGGCACATATGACAGAGACTCTCAGAGCCCAGGGTCCTTCGGGGCTGAGCCGACTTCAGAAGCCAGCTCGTCGTTCAAAGTCACAGGTGAGATGAATGTACTAGGGTACTAAATGTTATCCAGATAACCCAAAGAGGTCAAGGCAGAGCTGTGGAAGCAGCTGAATCTTGGGGCAAATCGGTGAATGTCCCTACATGTCAAACAGAAGTGACAGGAGACAATTTTGTAAATTTGAAGTAATGCATTGGGAAGACAGGAAAAATGTAATGTGAGTTAGACTTCTTAGGCTTTTTGTTTGCCATTGCCCTACTTGGCCAAGTGCAGAAGGCATTTCATTCTATCACAACCAGCTGTCTATTAATAATAATACAAGAAAGCTATACAATTCAAGTCTCAGATTTTGTAAGGTATAAAATCCCAGAAGCTCTATAGGCAGCATTGTCCGACAGAACTTTCTGAGACGATGTCTAATCATCCTCCCAGGAAGAAAAGAGTGCTCTCTCTACCTACGCTGTCCAACATAGTAGCCATTGGCCACATGTGGCAACTGAGCACTTGAAATGTGGCTAGTGCAAATGGAAAACCGAATTCTTAATTTTATTTATTTAAATTGATTTAAATTGATTTAAATAGCCCCATGGGGTTGCTGGCTAAGTACTGGAGAGCACAGCTCTTTGGCGTAGGGGCTAAGAGGGCACGCAGGCCCTGGAGAGAGGTCTGGGCTGGAACCATGGACTTGTCGCTTCAGAGCTATGTCATTGGGAGGAAGTTACTAACTCTTCTGTGCCTCGACTTCCTCATCTGTGAAAGAGAGGTCGTGGCTGCACACTATTCACAGTGTCGTAGGGGTTATGAAGATGACTCGAGTGAACACCTGTTCATGCCTGTTGCACGCACTCTCTGAAGATTAGCTAGTGGTAGTCTTCATTACCAATAATGCCTCTGCCATGTATTGAGCAACTTGCCCAAGGTCATTCATTAGTAAATGCCAGAGCCTGGACTAGAACCCAGATATTGTCTGACTTCAAAGCCCACGACCTGAGTTTTGCACGATCAAATTGCGCGACTGAAACCTTTGCTATTATAATAAGCAGACCAGCAGGGAGAAGATTCTGGAAGGCCGCTAGGGTTCCACAGCTGTGGGATGGCTGCTGGGTTGGCTACTGTGTGACCCACGTGTTTTGTTTTGTTTTGTTTTGTTTTGTTTTTGCAACAGCTGTATCCTAAAATT